ACAATAAAGACCTTCTTAAACTTCCTTCTCTTCCCAGATGACCCCTTACCAAAAGAACGAAATCGGGCTTACACCGTTTTTCTTCATTGTATGAAGGCACAACAACAGAGAGCTGCTTGGTAGGTGAGTCCCATATGCTGGGCAAAGTTTCCTTCTGTCCTCTGGCATTTAAGAAGAACTTCTCTTCTTCATATCGATGGAGATGTGGCATTTTCGTAGCAGTTATAAATGCAATAAAGGAAACCTAAAAGCAGGTATGTTAACAAGAAATTATGTTATGTTGACTTTTTTTACATTTGTTATATGAGAATACATCATTTGCATGATTTTTTTTTTTTTTTTTTTTGGTGGAATATTTACTCTCAGTTTTTAGTTCATTAACAATGGTCTAGAGGGGACACCAAAATTCAAATCCCTTACTTATGCACTGGTTATTTTCCTTTCTACAACTGGTGAGGTGCTAATAATGGCCTAGGAGGCTCTTTGTGTCTTCCCACCTGTCACCCCCAGGCCTGCGCTGTCCCAGATCATATAGGGAACAGTCACTAGAAGCGCAATCTAAGTTGCCCCAAAGCTCCAATCCCCTGGCAAGTGTATAGTTAGGTCTGATTCCTACTTTGAACGTCTATGTGACAGAAGTTACGTTCACAGTGCAGGTGAAATGTGTGGGATGAGGGCCGACCTCCCATCTAGGACCAAATCAACCAAGGCTTTGAAGGAACCACCCTTCCACCTCCATGGAAGGGACCAGTAATGCTTAAGAATATATTCCTGACAGTTATCTCAGATTTGAATTCAGAATAGATTATATTTTGAAGTAAAGTAGCTTGTAGGCTCTGGCACCAAGCCCTACTACTATTATATAGCTTCCTTCCATTTTTATTTGGGAGTGAGCTCTGGAGAGAACCATTTATTGTAACACCATTTTTACTAGTACACTTTCTGCTTTTAAAACAGTCAATCCACAAATTTGTGGAATGCTACTCATTTTTAACGTGGTGACCGTTTATAATATTGCACTGGGTACAAAATGAAACTGAACTTGATCTGATCAGTAGGAGCATGGAGGCAGTATCCCAGCTGGTGGCTAAGAGTTCCTACTCTGGGGATTCCTGAGTTCTAGCCTCGCATCTGGCTCTTTGCTGTCAGCACAGACCCCACTTTGGATCTTCTGTCCCCCTCTCTCTCTCCGCCCTTCCCCCCATTCCCCTGTTCATATGCACATGCACTAGACTCTCCCTCTCCCTGACCAAAAAAAAAAAAAAAAAGGTTCCTATTTTGCACACCAGTGTCTAGATTGTATTTCTAAGTTCAATATCCTAATAAAATTGATAATCTTTGTAAGATGCCACAGAATCATCTCATTATTTTAAAAACTTTGCCTTTTGTCTTACCTTTTATAACTGAAAGACATGTCAGAATAATTGAATAGCTGAGAATGATTTTTTTTTCATTATAGAATTCCAGGTAATACACGAAAAAGGAATGATACAATTAGAGTATTCCATACTGCAACCCCCAGGGAAATAATGGATTTAGGTTGACAACCTATATAATTGGTTAGTCAGGCTAACAAAACTTCTGAACTCCTGGGTTCTCTGAACACCAGAGAAAATCAGATATTACAAGCCTTCTGATATGATACAAGAGGAAGTATTCAGTATCAATCACATGCCATTTTTAGTTAAAAAACTCAGACATGCATTCGACTGAGTATCTAAATATTACTACCAGTTTATAGGAAATTCAGGGGAAAGAGTAGATATTAAAAATCACCAAGAGGATGCAATCAGTATAATACAGATTGTGAGAAACTCTACAGGACAAATGACCACTTATTAAAGACAAGGAAAGGGAGAAAAAAAAAGACAAATTGTTACAGGTTACGATACTTGACATGTATCTATCGTGAATGCTCAGTGGTACAGAAGGACTATACTAAAATATACATGAGACATTTGAACAGATGGGATATTTGAAATCACTGAATAATGGTTAAAAATTTTAAAAATCCATTATAACATGGGGCACCTGGGTGGCTCAGTCAGTTACGCATCCGACTCTTAGTTTTGGCTCAGGTCATGATCTCACCATGTGTTTAGTTCGAGCCCTATAGGGCTCTGCACTGTCAGTGGGGAGCCTGCTTGGGATTCTCTCTTACCCTCTCCTGCTTGTACTCTCTCTCTCAAAATCAATAAACTTAAAAAAAAAAAAAAAGAAAAATATCCATGATAACTTTATTATGATTATATTTTTATAAAGGGAGTCTTGTCTTTAGAGATAAACGCTGAGGATTTACAGATAGTGTCATGTCTTAAATTTGCTTCAAAATAACTCAGAAGTGGAGGGACAAAATGTATGGAAAGTGGGTATATACAAAACTAGGTTTTTTTGTTGTTGTTTTTTACATGATTTCTTGCTCCAGCATTTAAAAAACAATGAAGTTCCACTAACTGTGTGACATTTTCATTCATGAACTCTCTCAATCTAGTCTGTTTCATCAAATAAAGCTAATGATAACATGTATGTCAGCATTGTTTTGAAGATCACAAGAGATGGCGCCTGTTAAACACTGAATACAATACCCAACATACCAAGAGTCCTCAATAAATGGTAGCTCTTCATAATCACTTCAAGCTAGTGGGATCAAATACTTGCAGTACACCCTCAATGGACCCATTTAACTGTGCAACAGATAGATTCAACAAGCCGATTCAATCCAGGATTCTGTCAAATCTGCTCCCACTGAAACCCTGACTTGCTCTAAACCCTGAAAAACCCCTGAAATCTCCCTTTCTCAGGCACAAATCAACAAGTAGTCAGGGCACATTGCTTTTTCCCTATTAAATTGTTCCTAAACTCTGGAGTTTGCAAACCTGGCAAGGAGGAAGAACCGCCTTCCTAGCAGTGCGATCTAGGAGGGCTAATGGGAGTCGTCAAGGAAGCCGAAACTTCCTTTTACTATGGAAGCTTACGGGAGTAAACGCCACTTACTGACTGCATGGCAGGCTCATTCCAAATTACGTGCGGGAGAGCTCGCTTGGCAAATTGTCTATTACTTATGCATCAGCAAGCGTTCCTACAATGGTTGTTTCCAGAGTAAGAGCCAAAAAAAAAAAAAAAAAAATCCGAAGTTTGAATTCTATTGTATAGCCTCATTCAGAGGCAGCGAACTTAGGGTATTTAATATTGGGACATAACGACTCCCAGACCTCAGGCAACACCGCGCCTGAGTGTCTTGGTCTTACTGAGTCCCTCCTGGGTCTTCCCGATCCATAATTTACTCCATTCTGTAACAGCTGGCTGTCGTCAGTGCTCCGTCACCCCTTTCTGTGTGTTTAAGATCAGGAAAAGGGTGAGTCTCGAGAGCCCACACCTCCCGGGGGCTCGAGACCTTCCCAGCTGGAACCAAAACTGCACAGGCAGCAGGCCTGGGGCGGGGGACAGGGGGTCTTGGAGAGGTCGTGACTGATACGGTGCGTGGACAGAGGGCCAGGGGCCAGGGAGCGAGTGGAGACTGGTAAGCACGACCCCCCAGTGAAGAAACGTACAAGGCTCCGGGCACAGAGGGAGGCGACGCTGCAAAACAAATATAAAGAACGGAAGACAGGGGGTGTGAAAGTCTAGGAGGAGAGACCTGCGGGTCAAGGTCTGGAGAAGCCTGGAGAAAGGGGACCTGTCGAAGGGCGGGCAATGCGAGGAGAGGATGCGTGCCGGCCGTCTCTACAGACAGCGGTGAGCCCGAGCCCGCGGCGGCCCCCGTCCCTCTCCTCACCAGTGTCAGGGCTGCGGCCGCCAGCGCCACGCCGAGCACCGCCAGCTGCAGCACCAGCGGAAGCATCCTCCATGCCCGGGTCGCCGCCCGCCCTACCCCGCGCCTACACACACGCGGAAGCGCCGCCGTGCAGCCCCGCCTCCAGCCGGCAGAGGGGCCGCGCAGGCCTGGCGCCCGCCGCCCACAGCGCCCCCTGGCGGCAAGACGAAGAACACGCAGCTCTTGGGGGCGAGGCTCAGCAGTGGAGGTGGGCGCTCTGCGCCGTTGGGTTGACAAAATCAGCAAGTAAAAACGCAGGATGTCCACTAACTTGAGTTTCCGGTGGGCAATGAACAGTTGTTTTTTTTTTGTTTGTTTTTTACAGACTTGTTAAAATACAATTCACACACTATACAACCCACCCACTAAAAAAGTTTTGGTATGTTACATGAGTTTTTAAAAAAACGATACAGCATAAAATTTGCCACTTTTTTCCAATTTAAGTGTACAATAGTGTCATGAATTATATTCACAATTTTCTCTATCCATCACCACTATCTATTTCTAAAACATTCTTTCCTCCCAGCAGCCCCTGGCAACGACTAATAGCATGTGCCATTTGGGGTATGTACACTGAATGTTAGCCAACTTGACAACAAATTATATTTTTAAAAAATTACTCTTTATCTGACATTCACATTTAATTGGATGTTTTGTATCCTGTCTGGCAACCCTACCTAGCAGGGAGGGGGCGGTTTTGAGCCACTACACAGCCTGCAACACAAGCCGCTCGTCTGGAGCCTGCTCCGGGGACCTGCCAAGTGTAAGTGGTGCTGACAGTGAGCGCACAGAAAGTTGATATAATTCTCCAGTAACTGGGGCAGGGAGCCCTTGCCCCGGGCCCCGGGCCCAGCCTAAGACGGAGGCGGGAAAAAGACGCAGACGCTTTGCAAGAAAGCTCCAGGCTGAACACCGAATTCTTGGCAGTAGGGTCGCTCTCTTAAACTACCAGACTGTTTCCGAACAGATACATGCGTGTCTTCTCTAACAGCAGATTCGTCAAGACGCGTCCGAGGGGAAGAAGAAGCCTGAGGGGGTTGCCGGGACCCAGAAGGTCGACGCCAGGCGGGCCGGGAAGCACCTCGCCGCGCCGCGCCCGCTGCGTCTCGGGCACCGCGAGAAGGGCGCAGGCGTCCGTGTCGAAACTTCGGAGGCGGGGGAGGCGAGCGGCCCGGAGGCGCGGGGTGGCTCTGCGCAGGCGCGCGCGCGCGGGCGGGAAGATGGCGGCCGGGTTCAAGTGAGTGCTGGCGGCCCGCGGGCGCGTGTCTGGACCCTGGCGGATGGAGGCTTCCTTTAACCCTTCGCGGGGATTTTTTTTCACCTGGAAGCCACCCTGCCAGTTTCCCACTTCTTTCCCTCACGGAAGCAGGCGGCGGGCGGAAGGACCTGGAGGTGGAAGTAGTGAAAGGAAAGGGGGCTTCTTTCCCGCAGTGACACGGGAGATGCAAGGGACTGTGTACAGAGTTCAGGACCCGCTGCAAGCGCTCGTGGATTGGTGTGTAGTGGACGGGCGGCCCCAGGAGACGCCGTTGTAAATCTTTTAAAAAATGTTGTATGAGAACCACGTGCCACCCTGTTCTCCGTCTCCTTGATTGATTTCGGAAAGGACTGTGCCTTGTTCGGAAGGTTTTACTTGTGCCGCTCTGGTGAAGCCTGTAGATTTTTGTCCTCAGAGTCAAGTTTTTAAATGGACAAAATACGTAAGATTCCAAAGGAAAACAGTTATAGTGACACAGTTATCTTTCCATCTGTATAAACTCTTGAGTTCTTGAGTGATAAATCTATGCTTTTGCAAATTAACTTTCTTAAGATCTAGTGGGGTGTCTAGTAACAACTGGAATTTCAAAGTAACGAGCTTGCACAAAACCTTTGGCAACTCTAAAACGAAAACGTTCAGTCTCTGTGGTTGTTGAAGTTGCAGGCACTAATATTTTATGAAGGCATATTGCCTGCGGTCATAATTGAAGAACATGCTAAATTTCAGTTACAGGAGAGTGCGAATAAAGATACCTTTTTTTTTCCTAAGTACTAAGAGTATCTGCTTCGAAGCGAACGTGACATTATTTTAGCAACTGAATGAATTCTTTTTAAAGGTGTCCAAAGGCTTTGGACTCCTACCTGTAATTGTTTAAGGTAGAGTTAAGGACAGGAGTTGGGTGTGATTGCTACGGGAAGAGTCCTAGGTGTCAAAGGAAACAGCAGACTTCGTGAGAGAAACTTAGTTACAAATTGGGGAGATTTCTTCTGCTGCATGATCACATTAAGATCTTTGCCAGTTTCGGGATTTATGTTAAGAGTCATTAACTTACCTCAGATGTATTTATACCATGTTTCAGAACTGTGGAACCTCTGGAGTATTACAGGAGATTCCTGGTGAGTGAAGGTGGTTATGTACAGATTGTAGGATAAATCTTTTGATAACAGTATCAGAGCTTCTTTTGAAATTGACTTATATGAATTAAGGAGGTTTAATGTGTTTTCCTTGTGCGTGTACAACACAAATGTAGATGTAATCTGCTTTCATGTAAATATGTTTATTTAGAAAGAGAACTGCCGGCCAGATGGAAGAGAACTTGGTGAATTCAGAACCACGACTGTCAACATAGGTGAGGATATTTTTCAGTTCTCAAATAGAATGTTGAAGTTGCTTCAGCATTTTTTTATACTATTTTTATTTGTAAAGTTTTTTTAACTCACTGTTGTCTCAATTGGTGTTTTTAAAATTTGAAGTTCCCCTTCATTCAAAATCTCCAAGACATGATTTTCTTTCTTTCTTTCTTTTTTTTTTTTTTTTAATGTCGGAGAGAGTCAGGAGGGGCAGAGAGAGAGAGAGGGAAAACCCCAAGCAGGCTCTGCCCTGTCAGGCACTGTCCACACAGAGCCAGATGTGGGCCTCAGCATCTCATAAGGAGATCATGACTGGAGCCATACCAGGAATCTGACGCTTAACCTACTGAGCCACCCACATGCCCCACAAGACATGGTTTCTTACGTCTTATGCTTACTAAACTTTCTGTCACAAACATAGAATTTTCCAGTTTAACCTGTATGACATTCCTAAGTCCTAGAGTATTTCAGCCAAATGCTACTCTATCTAAGGGACTCCAGGTATTTTTTGTTAGGTTTTTATCTGTACAACAGTTCTGTGACTGAATGAAAATGTTTAACTCAAATTCAAGGACAGGTGAATAATTCCAAAAACAGTAATTTTAAATAGTGACATCATTTAAAAAAAGACTTGAGCTAGGAATAAATTTTAATAAGAAACAGATACATAGCAAGAAAAATTATATGTAGAAAATGAAAACTTTCTGTGGACTTTTTCATTTTGTTTATTATCTTTGCAGGTTCAATTAGTACCGCAGATGGTTCTGCTTTAGTGAAGCTGGGAAATACTACAGTAATTTGTGGGATTAAGGCGGTAGGTTTAATATATCTTACTGAGATCTGAATTCCAAATTAGCTTCATATACTTATTAGATGGTAATTTACACCAATAATTCTGTTGATCAGGCTGTTAGGTGTCAGTTTTTTAGTATTTTTCATTTTCCAAGAGCTTTCACCTTTGAGTAGATAATACTCAAAGTCTAATGACTTTTATGAACATTTGTCAGATGGACTGAAATGAAAGTTTTTAAAATTTTGTTAAAATTTATTTTGAGAGGGAATGAAAATGAGTGGGGGAGGGGCAGAGAGGGAGAGACAATCCCCAGCAGGCTCCTCACTGTGATCGCAGAGCCTGATGTGGGGCTTGAATCCCACATCATGAGATCATGATCTCATGAGATCATGACCTGAGCTGAGATCAAGAGTCAGATGCTTAACCAGCTGACCCACCCAGGTGCCTCTGAAATGAAACAGCTTTTTAGTTTTTGGTTTTTTTTAAACTAAAACTTTTAGTTTTTTAAGAATTTGGTTGAGAAAGGGATTTTTGGTGACCTCCTTTTAGCCACTTAATCTGTGCAAATATATAGGAAATTAAAATTGCTCAAAAACTTGAGGGAGTTAAGAGGTACTATTTACTGAGTACCTGCTGTGTTCTAGGCACCTTAAATTAGATCCTTTATTACAGAAATTACCAGTTTAATCCTGAGAACAATCACTTGAGGTATAGTTTCTGTCTCTTGTTTTACATGAGGTTCAGTGACTTGTTCAGGAACATATTGTAACTAGACCTTAGATATAACTTTGACTCCAAAGCTTGTAGTTTTTTCAGTGACTTCTTTGTTATAAAATGACTGGAAGAAGGTGGTGCAGAAACTCAATACATTTTTATAAAGAGCCCAGATAATTTTGGTGAGTAGCACCAGGATGTAGGCAACTATGCCATGCTGCCTTTTTATCTTGCAGACCTAATATGAGGACTGGCGCCAGTGTCCATTGAGCCTGATAACCCCCTAAGCATAGTAGATGCTCTTGATGTAGTTAACTAGCTAAGATGCTCTTTGATGAAGGATTCTCCCAAGTGACTGCAAAAGTGTCTTCACAGATTTTTGAGTACCATCTTTCATGGGAAGTTATTTGCTTTTATAGGAATTTGCAGCACCACCAACAGATGCCCCTGATAAAGGATATGTTGGTGAGTTAAACAGTTGTGTAATTTGAATACAAATACTTTAACACATTTAATTCTAATCTTAATGCTAATGTTAAGTCCTAGTGGTGAGCTGAATAAAACTTATGATTCAAACATAAAATAGAAATGAAGCAGACATTGCTGAAAAGTTTTCTGTATTGTTACAAGATAGTCTAATAGCAAGATAATTTTGTAAAATTTCAACTATAATCAGTTGTTTATACATTCCGGTATCAACCAAGAAAACAGAATCTCTTAGGAAAGGGTTGCAACTACAATCGGTGTTTCCAAAAGATTTCACTTATACCATTATGCAATTTTCTTCTTGCCTTGGACCATCTGTTTATGGTAGGAACAAACATTTTAAAAATGTAGGCAGCTGGGTATGAGTAGAGGGGCTAACTACTGTTACAGACTGAGGTATTTTGTTAGAAATCTTTTAAGGATTTAGGATGATTGAGGCCTTAATAGGTGCTTTATAAATTTTTGATATTGTGGGAAAAAAAAGTTGGAAAATGTAAATTTTATCTAAGCCTAAGAATCTTAGACCAAAAAAAAGGAATGTTAGTGTTTTCCACTTGGCAAATCCTGGCTTTTAATAATCTCTTTAAAACTTCTGTAAACCAGAGGTGAAGTTTAGTTCATAGCTGCAGTGTTTCTTTCAGTTCCTAACGTGGATCTACCGCCTCTGTGTTCGTCGAGATTTCGGTCTGGACCACCTGGAGAAGAGGCCCAAGTGGCTAGCCAGTTCGTTGCAGATGTCATTGAAAAGTAAGATCATCATAGTAACACTTGACTGTCATTCATTTTCAGGTAATTGTTGACCTTTAATTTATTGTGCTTTATTATTAAATCAAGTTCACAGATAATTCAGAAAGAGGACTTATGCATTTCTCCAGGAAAGGTAAGATGAAGAAAGAAACTATGAAGTCTTATTAATTCTGAATTGTTTTTTGTGGGACGAGAACAAAGGAATTAAAATAGTGAACCACAGTGGCCTCAAATATGAATGTCTTAAGCTGGAATTCAGCTTAAAAAAAAATCAGGCTTACTCTGTAACTAACATCTAAATAAACTGTGTGGTTCATAAAAAAAAAAAAAAAAGACTAATTACCTGATTGGGAGCTACTTTTTGAGCTGAGGTAACTTTTAACACATAATTAGTCCATTGTTGATTGCATATAGATTATTAATATCTGATCAGCTTATGTTTAGGGTAAATCCACACTAAATTTTAAGTCTGTTTAAAAGTTAGAACTAATTAGGATGTAGAGCCTTTTTGTATTTGACTATTTACAGATTAGCATTGTAAAGCCTGTGGGAAACTACATTTTGGGTTTCATTTGAGACTTTTTTTTTTTTAATTTTTTAATGTTTTACCTATTTCTAGGAGAGAGAGAGAGAGACAGCGTGAGCAGGGGAGGGTCAGAGAGAGAGGGAGTCACAGACTGAAATAGGCTCCAGGCTCTGAGCTGGCAGTCAGCACAGAGCCCGACGCGGGGCTCGAACCCACGAACCGCGAGATCATGACCTAAGCGAAAGTCGGACGCTTAACCGACTAAGCCACCCAGGCGCCCCTCATTTGAGACTTTCAAAAGTATTTCCTTCATCTGCTAATTTCTAGATCTGTAGCCCTTGATGGAAATGTAGATCTTGTTACTTAACAGCTTGATAGTTATATGCCAGCTTTTGCCAACCTGTCTTCTATGTTTGGTTATTGGTTATGCACTTTTAAAAGTTTTTTTTTTTTTTTAAGTTTTTGAGCCTTGAAGGTTATCATGCTGGTCTAACCAAGGGTTCTGTGTGGTTTTAAGTTGAAATGCCATGTTCTATCAGAAGGCTGTAATATACACCTTGTGTAAACTTTGTTTTAGCTTTCTTGGGTTCTATACTGTGATATCATTTGCCTTGACTATGATGGGAACATCTTGGATGCCTGTACGTTTGCTTTGTTAGCAGCTTTAAAAAATGGTAAGCAACTTTAATAAAAGGGAAAATTCTTTTTTATATATCAGAATATTGCTAAACTTTATCAATAGATTTTTTTTAAATTTATTAATGTTTTATTTATTTCTAGGAGAGAGAGAGCGAGCGTGAGCAGGGGAGGGTCAGAGAGAGAGGGAGTCACAGACTGAAACAGACTTCAGGCTCTGAGCTGGCAGTCAGCACAGAGCCCGACGCGGGGCATGAACCCACGAACCGCGAGATCATGACCTAAGCGAAAGTCGGACGCTTAACCGACTAAGCCACCCAGGCGCCCCTATCAATAGATTTTTTAAAGGTTTCTGTTAATATTTAGTGATGATCATTCATGTGTTTCTAAATTAAAAACCATGTTTATAGCCACTAAATTCACCTTAATTATCCTAAGGTAATTTTTTTAAAAAGAATACTTCTAGACAATTTAAAGAGGCAAAAGTGAATTAACAAAGCATAGAAAGCAGTACTTATTAAAATAACAGTGAGTTACTTCACATATTTGCCTTTTTCTAGTACAGCTACCAGAAGTTACTATAAACGAAGAAACTGCCTTAGCAGAAGTTAATTTAAAGAAGAAAAGTTATTTGAATGTTAGAACTCATCCAGTTGCAACTTCTTTTGCTGTATTTGATGAGTAAGTTAATCAACTGTATTAAGAAATCGTGTATTCAGGGGAATTGCGGACTGTTACTCAGCTTTCTAACTTTTCAGAAAATGCCTAAGGTGACCATACATCCTAGTTTGTCCTGGACACCTAAGATTTATAGCTGTTGTCTCTGCAGGATTATCAGCTAATACTTATACTTTCAAAAGCATCCTGATACAAATGATGCATTTTGTGCTCTCCCTATCTGACCTGTTCCTTGGTTTCCTTATTCCTGTGTAATTAACCTTCAGATTTACCTTAGGCTATCTTCTGTATTAACTAAGGATAGTAAAGATTCTTATTAGTAGTAGAATATTAGGTGGCTGTTAACTTTTCTGGTTTCCTACCAGTTCTATTCTCATGCTTGTATCTGACATCAATACCTAAGCTAAAACGCAGTGATTTTATTCTTCGTAAATAAAATTTGTTCCATGGATTGATAATTTATACTTTTTTTTTAATATATTTTAAATAGCACTCTGCTCATAGTTGACCCTACTGGAGAGGAGGAGCACCTGGCAACTGGAACCTTAACAGTAGTAATGGATGAGGAAGGCAAACTATGTTGTCTTCATAAACCAGGCACGTTCCTTCCATTCAGTCCTTTAAAAACTGTGTTTTTTTTGTTCTGTTTTGATGTTTATTTTTGAGAGACAGAGTGTAAATGGAGGGGTAGAGAGAGAGGGAGACAGAGAATCTAAAGCAGGCTCCAGGCTCTAAGCTGTCAGCACAGAGTCCATTGCAGGGCTGGAACCCACAAACCATGAGATCCTGACCTGAGCTGAAGATCAGATGCTTAACTCACTGAGCCACCCAGGCACCACGCCTCCCTTCAGTCCTTTAACACGCAAAGTAAAAAACTCAGTGTGAGCTTCTTTGTATTAGAGAGGGCCAAATGGAATGTTTTGTTGATACCGATTTTTTATAAGTAAAACAGATCTTAAACGTGTTGGCACAATAATTTTTCAGGTGGAAGTGGGCTGACTGGAGCTAAACTTCAGGACTGCATGAGCCGAGCAGTTACCAGGCACAAAGAAGTAAAAACGCTAATGGATGAAGTAATTAAGAGTATGAAACCCAAATAAACCACCACATTTTCAAAACGGATTTATAAAAACTGTATTTGTTACACTGTGCACAAACCTTTTATACTAAATAAATATCAAACTACATTCTTCTGAAAGATGTTTCTAGTATTTCTTAGGTCACTTCCATATGTGGTATGTACAGTGAAACCATTTTTAGAAAGCAGTGACTTAGGCAAACCAACCCTAATGGTTCATTAAACCATCTCCCTGTTTTTACTCAAAAATCCTAGGGTTGTGCTTCTGTATAAAGTTTGTACATCTAGCAATGTAAAATACTGACATTAAAAAAAACAAAACCAAAAATGAAGTAGAAACTCAGAATCCTTTGATTCGATGCTCTTATGGTTTTAAAAAAGAAAAGCAAAAAAGCAAGACTCAGAATTTTGGAGTGGTTGGCGTGCCTCTCTTCATTTTACTTTTTGACTGGCTGCCTGTATGCCGATGACGATGTAGCTGAGCTGTTTGTGCTGCTGCTGCTGCCATAGCCATTTGATGCTGCAAGAATCGCAACTGCTGCAAAAGGGAGGGAGAAAAAGTCAAGTTACGTCAGTGTAGGCAGGTATGGAAAGGTGCTTTTCCTGAGAGATGAAAACAACAAAACTGAAAGGGAGAAAGCACCAAGATAACGGAGAGGGACTATACCACACTGAGACAATGCACAGTCAAACAGCACCAGTGGCACAGAAGCCTGTTGAGGGCTTTAAAAATGGTTCTTGGTAAACTTTAAAAATATTTCTGTTACTCTGCCCTGCCAGTCTATACTGTAGTAACTCAGCAACTTCAGTTACTATTTTGTTGTATGATAGTTTATAGCAATATAAAATCACACTGCATATCAGATAGTCAACTATAAATAAGCGGACTCCCTACAATCCTGGAGTAACATTTTCCTACAACAGGCACGACATTTACTAATAGGAACACTGGTATACTTGCCTTTTTCTGCAGTACGGTATCAAAAAGTTAACCTTTGGCACTTACAGCTGTCTATTTCAAAATCTACTGGAAACTACAAAATGTAGCTTATTGTGCCACCAGCACTTCATGAGAGCTTTTAAGTTAGGAAGAGTATGGCTTAAATGTACAAATTATGTTCAGTGCTCCAAGTTGACCAGCTAAAATGCCAGGCTTTCAAGATTTGCAAAATTATTTACCTACTACTGTATAGTCTTAAAAGACAGTAAAATAAAACTGAAGTAAGTTATGCTAAGGTACTTTTGGAGCAGAGTTATCTTTAAAAATGTAATCAGAGTGAAGTTGCTGGATTACTTGTATCTGTTGCTGCTGCTGTTGAAAGGCAGAGGAGAGCTGGAATCTCTGCTGAGGAAGGCTTTGCTCAGGTCTGTTCTCGGCAGAGCCAAGCTGAGACAACACTACAGAGAGGAGAAGGGGAAAGCAGGCCAGTCAAAAAGTTTGAAGGCTACCAGGGTTAGAAAAGGACAACACAGAAAATGAAATAATAGAAAAGTTATCAGTATGATTAATCTTAAGTATCAAATCACAGACATTTCAGAACAAATTTAGTATAGTCTCCTGTTAGTCCAGGGTACCACTGATTATAAAATCTCCTGCATATGAAAGGGAAGGGAGTGCCTGTGCGACAAAGCACTGTATCCCTCCTCTTAAATTTCAATGGAATTTGATACTAGTGTTATTTTGTTGAGAAGCCTTTCTTGCAAAATGTAAAATATAGTGTTATTTTAAAATATAATCAGTGAAGTGGAAAAGGGGTAGGAAAAGTCCAATCTACAATTACAACAAATGTGGTAAACCAGTGCTTTAAACAAAAGGTGCTACAGTAAGTTTAGACTACACTACTAGCTACAATGGTGATGAACTGAGATGGCATTATTCCATTTCTTTTTAAGCTGAGTGGGGCCACAGTAATCAGTTCAGCCCTCTCAATGTACAGATGAAGAAATTACAGGCCAAAATGGTCTGAATGACTCAAAAGTAATCATTGGCAGGTCTCAAGCCAGAAACATTCTCTTGATTTTTTGGCCTAGATTCTTTCCACTAAAGTATAGGACAGCCATTTTAGGAAATTTGTAACTTGGGTGATAAAGGTTTATGCTCACAAATTTCCATCTGGAAATTCACCAGCTTTAAATAAGACATTATGTAAGATCTTGCTTACTCTAAATTCAGACACTGGGAGTTGTATATAGTAAGACAGTGAGCTCAGTGACAACTCAAAATGTTGATGTTATGTTCATTCACTCAATACTCAAACTCTATCATAGCTTATTTACTTATATAGCTTAGTGATTTTAATTAAATGCAAAGTTATAATTACTGTCTTTAAGTGACAAGATATTTTCATTAGAGGTAAATCTTTCGTTTACCATTTATTGCCAGAAGTGGCCAGCAGTCACTTAGTATAATCTTTTTTTTTTTTTTAACTTATGGTTAAAGTGGCTTAAAAGTTATTTCTGACCATTAAGTCTTAATTCATGCAACCGTGAGCTACCAGAAAAATACAATAGATTATGCTGTCAAGAAAAATGAAGTCTTAATAACCGAGAAGAACTCAAGACTTAATAGCTTTGGTAGCTTCCTAGTAAGCTGGATAATTGTATAAAATATTACCAACGAACTATAATGTGAATAAAACATAACTGCTGCTAATGTATGTATGTAGGTAAAAACACTTTTAATCAACTGTTAAATTAACAAAAAACATCTGAGAGGGCCATCAATCGACTTAATAGTTCATGCATTAAACAGAATATATTTTTTCCCCAGTCACTGACTATAAGAGAAAGAAAATTAAAATACTGAGTGATCCCTAAATGATCAGTTATTTTTAGTAAATTCAACATATGAAGGCATGAAGATACCCACCAGCTGCCTGTGATTGCATAAAACTTCCTACTCCAGCAAGGTTAATAACAGCAGCATGCTGAGCAGATAAGGCCTGTTCTTGACTGGTAGAACCTTGTTCAGAGCCCTGAATAAAAAAATAATATATCACTTGTACAGAAAGAAAAACAATTTTGAGTTGGTGAAAATTTCTTTTTCTTGTATGGGTAAAAATACCAATATTAGACTACATCTTATAAAAAGAGTAACATAAAAAATATTTCAAACATACTTAGAATTAGCAAGACTAAAGATGTGCTATCTTTTTGATTTTCAAGTAAGCTCTATGCCGAACATGGGGCTTGAAATCACAACCCCGAGATCTTATCGACTGAACCAGCCAAGCACCCCAGTATGTCATATTTTGAAAGCAAAAAAATAAAACCTAATTTTCCAGAATTGACTTTTTTAAATGTTCTTATTTATTTCTGAGAGAGAGAGAGAGACAGTGTGAGCAGGGAACCCACAAACTCTGAGATCATGACCTGAGCCAAAGTCAGATGCTTAACTGACTGAGCCACCCAGGCACCCCCCCAGAATTGATTCCTTATTGGTTTATTGTTTGATGCTGTATTAATTAATTCTTAAGCTTCATCAAAATTGTTTTTTAAAGCCTAAAACTCTTTGCAATATAGTACTAGAATTTCTTTTTTCTTTTTAGTACTAGAATTTCTAATGATCTCAATAAATGACAAAAAGGAAATAAAGGCGTACAAAGAAAAAAAGAAAATTGTCCTCATTTGCAAATTGTATGGCTATCTAAAAGGAAAATCATTACAAAAGCGTTCCTAAAACTAAAACTAATAAATGAATTAGTTCAGTAGGATTTCAAAATACAAGATCAGCATACAAAAATAAATTCTGGATACTATTTTAGTGACCATGTGAAAACCTGAATTCTAAAGCAGTACCTACCATTTGCAACTCAATAAAAGAAAAAAAACCCACTTGGTATAAATCTACAAAACCTACATAAGGTTTGTATGCTGAAAAGCAGCTGATTTTGGCTTACGCAGAGACACTTCTGTGTTGATGGACTAGAAAATTCACACAGTTGGGGCGCCTGGGTGGCTTAGTCAGTTAAGCGTCTGACTTTCGCTTAGGTCATGATCTCGCGGTTCGTGGGTTCAAGCCCTGCGTCGGGCTCTGTGCTGGCTGCCAGCTCAGAGCCTGCAGCCTGTTTCAGTCTGTGACTCCCTCTCTCTCTGACCCTCCCCTGCTCACGCTGTCTCTCTCTCTCTCTCTCTATCCTAGAAATAAATAAAACATTAAAAAACAACAACAACAAAAAAAAAATTCACACAGTAAAGATGGTAAAGTCATTCTCAAACAGACCTATTCTGTTTGAGAATTCAATTTCTTAAAAAAAAAAAAAAAAAAAATCACAGCAGGTTCCTTACCCCCTCCCCCACCCCCGCCATCTATAAACAGGATGATTCTAAAATTTGTATGTAAAGGCAAAAGACCTGGAACAGCTAAGCAATTGTGAAAAACAAAATGGGAGGAAAACCTCTGCCTGATTTTAAGACTTCCCATATAGTCCACACAGATCAAGACAGTGTAGTACTAGCACAGGGGCAGAAACATAGATAAGTGGAAAAGAATACAGAACACAAAAAGCCATGCAAATAGGTCTTGACAAAAGTGTAAAAGTAATTACACTTATAAAGATCACTTTCTCAACAAACACCATTATACCAATCGGACAACGTCCCTTCTCTGGCCTCACCAGTGAACATGGACCCAAGTCTTATACCTTACACAAAAATTAACTGGAAATGGATCACAGATTTAAATGAAAAGCTCTAAAACTGTTAGAAGATAACACAGGAAAACATCTTTGGGGTCTAGAGTGGGGTGAGGCATTCCTAGACATAATACATAAAGTACAATCTATAAAAGAAATAAGTTGATAACTCAGACTGCACCCAAACTAAAAACTTTTGTCCTGAAAAAGACTTTGTTACCACCAAAAAATGTTTGAAATAACATTTTAGTAAACAACGTAAGTTAAACATTTCCAAAAAGTTGTAACACATTTATCTTGAACGGACTTCCCTAGATTCACTGCACGGAAGAGCACAGTCCTGATAGAAGAGGATACTCTTGAACTTGGAGCTCTGCTCATGTAATGAACAGGAATAAGAAAAGCAGATTACATTACTTCCATAACAAATCTATTTTAAAACAAAAGGAAAACTCCCCAAATATAATACCCTCCCCCAAATTTCCA